GGTAGAACGTATAAATGCGTAAAACGTATAAATACGTTTCCCACATACAATGTGTTAATAAAAGGCTAATATGCAAATTGACCAAACAGTGGAATGACCAGTCGCTATGATGAGCACTGACCACCAGGGGGCAGACACTCAATGCAGGAGCTGCCTCCTGGTGGTCAGTGAACTCCCATAGGGGGAGCACCACTCAGCCAAAAGCCAGATTCACAGCTGACGAGTGCACCGGCAGTGGCAGGAGCCTCTCTCGCCTCCACAGTAGCACTAAAGACCCGTTGGACATCCCCCAAGGGGTCCCAGACTGTGAGACAGCGAAGGCTGGGCTGAGGGACCCACCCCCACCCCCACCCCCTGCCGCCCAGTGCACAAATGTCATGCACTGGGCCTCTAGTAATTTATAAAATCAGTAGATCTGAGAGTTTTCTCAGAATGTCCAAGGGCCTGTCTTCACACAGGAACATGACTAAGCCACCTAAGAAAAGCGATTGTGGTTTATGATTCCTTCAGAATGTGGTTTCTCTCTTGCCTGCTTTCCTCTGGGTTGCTTCACTCTCAGTTAGGCTGTGACCATGGGGTGGAAGGCAGCTCTTTCTTGGCCACTCCAGCACAGGCAGCTTCTCTTCCCAGTAGTTCCAGCAGAAGTTCCAGGCTTGATTTTCTTGGATGTGAGTCTATCCCTAAAGCAATCATTGTGGCCAAGGAGATGCAAGACAGTGATTGGCCAGAGCTGGTCTCTGGATCTCATCCTGAGCCAGGGTTGGAGTCAGAGGATGGAAAGAGATATGAGTCCTCCAAAGGAGAGTCAGGGTGCTCTTACCAGAAGCAGGGAAAATACCCTGGACAGGGTAAACCCACAGCTATTGGCCACATTTATCTATTTCCTACAAATTTATCAGAGTGACAGTCTCTTCCTTAAGTCTGTGTAGTCATCAGAAATTTTTCCTTAAGCTACTCCTGATATATTTGTTGCATGTTTCAATATGCTTCTTTTAGTTAATTTGCTACCTTAAGAAAATTAACATTTTGCCATTTCTCATATTTAAATAATATTTTGGGTATTTGCATGCATGGTTATTTAGCCATTTCTCAATCTTCTCCCAACCCAAATGTTTAAATTTTTTAAAATCATTATATATAATTTTTTTTAAATATATTTTACTGATTTTTTACAGAGAGGAAGGGAGAGGGATAGAGAGTTAGAAACATCGACGAGAGAGAAACATCGACCAGCTGCCTCCTGCACACCCCCCACTGGGGATGTGCCCGCAACCAAGGTACATGCCCTTGACCGGAATCGAACCTGGGACCCTTGAGTCCGCAGGCTGACACTCTATCCACCGAGCCAAATCAGCTAGGGCTATAATTTAAATATATGTGCATGTTTACACACACACACACACACACACACACACACACACACTAATATTATATATAAAGAAGACTTGCAGACACTTATGCAGTTGGAAGTTGAGAGCAGCATCCGGAATCTGTTGGGAAGTCATGTGACTGAGTCCACCCACCTCCCTGTGTCTGATCTTCTGCCCCAGAGTTGTGTGAATGTGTAGCAGTCATAGCTGGTTGTGTGAGCCTATTTTATTTCAATCTATTTTTTAAAATAGTAATTATTTTTTGGAAGGGGGCAATGGGTTGTGAGGAGACTCTATGAGAGAGTTGGTGAGGGAATTGAAAAGTTATTTTGTGAAAAGAAAGTTTAGTCTGGGGGAAAGAGAATAAAATGGAGAAGCAATGGCTGGATGTAAATTCTTGCCAGTAACAGAAGAGGTAGATATGTATACTATTACTAGGGGCAGAGATGGAACGGGTCTGTGGGTATATAGGGTTGGGGAAGAACTGCCTACCCTTGAGAGCTATGTAAGAGTGGGATAAGCTGCCCCATTAGGTACTAATGCTTTTCAGGCAGAGCCCACAGGGTTGGTTGAGTGGGGGTTTGGGGAATTGTCTGAATTCTTATACTATATGACTCTCTCCTTGACTCTCTCTTCTATCCCCAAGATTCTATGACTTTATGTCAGGAGAGTGGCGGGCAGGAGGAAAAGTTGTAAGATTTATAATGAAATCAGAGAATAAAACTGTGGAGCCCATTGCTTCAGGTCAGAGAACCTCAACAGGCCAGGAGTTATTATAGACCCAGGCCAAATTTCTGCTTTGCTCCTCAGGTTGACGTCTTCTGTGGCCGAGCACAAGCGTGCAGTTAGACCCAAGCGCCGGGTTCCGGCTTCCAAAAACCCCCTGAAAATGCTGGCAGCAAGAGAAGACCTCCTTCAGGAATATACTGAGCAGAGACTAAATGTCGCCTTTATGGAGTCAAAACGGATGAAAGTAGAAAAGAGTGAGTATTTGGAACCACCAACGTGCTTCTGTGTTTGGGAACTGGTGATGTGGCGATATATTTTTAACAGTTGAGGGTGCACATTTTGTTTTATTTTTTAATATATAGTTTTTTTATTAATTCTCACCTGAGGATATTTTTTCCATTGATTTTTAGAGAGATTACAAGGGAGAGGGAGAAGGGGAGAGAGAGAGAAACATCAATGTGAGAAAGACACAATGATTGCTTGCTCCTGCATGTGCCCTGGCCAGGACCTGGGATTCAACCTAAAACCCAGGTCCATGCCCTTGATCAGGAATTGAACCCAAGACCCTTAGGTGTGTGGGCTGATGCTCTAAGCATTGAGCTTCTGGCCAAGGTGTGATGTGGTGATTTTTATCCTCCTTTTTCTGCCTTGCAAAGGCCAATAATGGTGCTCATAAGACACTCATTAAATAAAAATGAGTAAATTTGTGCACACACGTGCACACCTGCAGAAAATCTGTGTAGAATGTAAAGGCTTTTCACAGAAATTCTATAGCATTAAGCATCTGTTAACTAGAAAATTCAAATTACCCTGATTTGCTGCAATTTTTCCAAGAGATTGGAGGAAAAGGATGTTTTTGGGCTTTGTAATTCACCCATTGTCAGCTCTGTAGGGCCCAAACACAATAATTCTCCACTTAATCTTATTCAAGAGGAAATCATTTGATCTCTCAGGGAAAAATGTGCCAAATCACTGCTTTGCCTAATCCTAGATTTTTATATTATTAATTAATGCACAAACCAGTGCTCTGCAAATTATTTTTGATGGGATGTGGGCTGGGTGGATAGGGAGGAGTAGAGAGAGGCAGTGACAGGAGCATGAGGAGGTAGGCTCCAGGCTGTGTGCCTCATTGGTGACAGTGCTGCCCTGCTTTTACCTGCCCAGGAAGGTGGAGTTTCATAGTTTTGAAACAGAGGTTTCCTTGGTAGTGATAATGACCTACATAATTGTGCTGTTTTGAATATTCTTCAATTTTGAATATAATTTTTATTTTCCTAGAGCACTCATAAACCAATTTCCTAAAGTTTTTCTTAGAAATATAGTATGCAAATAAAGTGATTGAGTCTTGTCAACATAACTGGTTTACTCAGAAAGTATATTTCAGAATCACTGTGCCACATGAATTCTCAAAGTGTGTTATATTTCTTCAGTATTAGAACCTAATCCTAGCAAAATAATTTTTCTGAATTCCTTTCCAACATATACATTTTTTTAAAACAATGAGTTGGAGAAATGAAGGTTTATTGGAACAAGTCCTATATATTTTTCCTCTATTTCCACCTTTATGGGGTGCCAAGGATGTCTTTGTGGTGACTGGCACCTATACGTTTGTTGGTCCACATGAAAACTCAGCATCTTGTTATTACAATCTTAAGTTGAAAGCAAAGGACCTCAGGAGATCAGTAATTTATGACTTTGCCTCCAGAAAAAGATTGTAAATTAACCATCCCTTATACAAAGCCTGCTTTTCTATTTTTGGTAGAAAATAAAGGCTTTTGGTGAAAGACATCTAACAGTCTTCCTTGAGAATGCATTTTCAGCATCTCAACATTGTTAGGAATTTATAACAGCTTTGAGTGGAATTTCAACAAATGAGTCCACCTCCTCATTTTATGCTAAAGTAGCTGTGCCACATTGTCACTCAATGCTTATCTCTATGTGGTGAGGTGTGACACTTGTCAACAGCAGTTTATACTTTCAGTACAGTGTTGAATTTTTAATACAGGGGTTAGGCATTGCTCTGCATAGTTAATCAAACTTGGGTATGTTCTCCCCCTCAGGATTAACTTTAAAAGAAAAAGATAGCTGGTTATGAATAATTTCTGATTGTAAACATTGTCATTACACCTGAACATCTTGCTTTCTGTGTTTCTTTATTCAATCGGTCCAGTGTCCTCCAACTCCAACTTCTCAGAAGTCACCCTGGCAGGTTTAGCCAGTAAAGAAAATTTCAGCAGCGTCAGTCTGCGAAGCGTCAACCTAACAGAACAGAATTCTAACAACAGTGCAGTGCCCTACAAGAAGCTGATGCTGTTACAGATCAAAGGTATGTAAGAGCAGGAGGAGTTACATCTGGGCTGGGGCTTCAGTCAGGCAGCATCAGGGGTCCTGACTGCCCTTAACTGCCTGTCATGGGAAGGGAACTCACCTCACGCTTTTGAGGACCTGCTGTGCGCCAGGTGCTGAACTTCCTCCTCTCAAGTAAGCTTCATGAAATCCATGAGGTGGCGTACCACTGAGGCTTAGGGAGTTAGTAATGTGCCTGTGGTCAGCAGCTGTTAAGCAGCATTGAACCTAGGTCTCTCCCATTTAAAAAACAGCTTGGGCAGCTGCCCCTTTGCCCCATGGCCCCTGCCACACACTGTCAGGCAGTTACCAGACCCCCTGAGTTGTCGAGTATTCTCTCCACACCGTTGCCTCCCTGAGGCAAACAAGAGTCAATGCAGGGCAGATGGAGAGAGGTGCATCCTTGGAGAAGGAATACAGAGGAAGCAGAGCAAGTGAGGTAGACCCAGATTCCACTTCATCACCCTTTCTAGCCATAGCAAGGGAGACCTAACTCTGGGCTGTGGGGGCAGATTTGGCTGTGTCCCAGTGTCAACTGCTCAAGATTAATTACCAGGAGAGGATAGCTGAAATCTCCTCTGTCTGGGAGGGTCTCTTGTATGTTGTGCATGTCCACTGTCCTTCCCAGTGACAGGCTCCAATTACCAGCCTCTATTCCTGGTTCCAACTCGGAGATGACACTATCAGGTTGATTATAGAAAGAGCCACAAGGCAGCGCTTGCCTCTAGGCTGATGCCCCTAAGAATTCCCAGCCAAAAGCTCTGGAGGAAGCAGAAGCTGTGAAAGGCACACTTTCACCTGCGGAGACTAGGAGATGCATGAACAAGGGAAAGGAGCGTGGTGCTGTCTTTCCTGGAGGAAGGAACCCCAACCAACCCATATATGTGCTGTAATAGGGCGCTGACAGTGGTCCAGAGGACATGGTGGCATTTGGAAAGGCACTCAAAGGAATGCAATCTATGATGCTGTCATTCCGAATCCCCCTCTGCCATTCCCAGTCATGGGAACTAGTATAAATAGGCCAGACTCTTTAGAATTGAAAGCGATGCTCAGATGGGGCACTTTCTGGTCCTTCCTGTGGCTGGGAGAGTTCTCCATTCTGGGAGATGGTGTTTCTTTGCCTTGTGTTCAGGAAGAAGACATGTGCAGACAAGACTGGTCGAACCTCGAGCTTCGTCACTCAACAGCGGGGACTGCTTCCTCCTGCTCTCTCCCCACTGCTGCTTCCTGTGGGTAGGAGAGTTTGCAAATGTCATAGAAAAGGCGAAGGTTGGTATCTGGAAAATAAAATAGTTTAGTTGAGCATCTCCTTTACACACTGACAGAATCTTCTACCAGTTGCCGGATGATTGCACAACTTCTCAAGTGCCCAGTTTCATTTGAGTGAGGAGAGATATTGTTCTGAATGTCTCTCAAACAAGCTTTCATTAGGTGTTCACGTGTGGGAGTTTAGGGGGATTGTTACCTATCCCTCCAGGTTTGAAGTCCTGCTTTTGTTCTCATTCTTGTGTAAAAAAAGAACTGGCACATCACTTCAAAGTTGCTTATCCCAGGTCCCTGTGAAATCCCGCTCCAGACCCAGTGAATGAGGATCTCATGGGGGAAAGTCCAGAGAACAGGTAGTTTTTACCAATTTATGTGATCTATTGAATTTGAATATTAAGAACTGTAGCTCTAAAGAATTGATACCTCTGGTTGTTTAGTTACATTGTCTTGATTTTGTTGAAAATAATCAACCACCAGTGCCTTGGGCTCCTGGACACCAGGTTTTCCTTCAGACACACACCATTTCTGGTCTTGGATTTCAGAGTGTTCCTCTCCAGCTAGCCACAGGCTGTCTACCCAGATAATGGTGTTCCTCCCTTTTTTCAGGCCTCAGAACTTGCAACTTTAATTCAGACAAAGAGGGAACTTGGTTGTAGAGCTACTTATATCCAAACTATTGAAGAAGGAATTAATACACACACTCATGCAGCCAAAGATTTCTGGAAGCTTCTGGGTGGCCAAACCAGTTATCAATGTAAGAGTTTACTGTGTTTCAGAGAATGACAAAACTTAAATTTCCTTTCTTCTTCCCTACTTCATCCTTCTAAACCAGCCCCATTTTGGTATTTAATGTAATACACTCTCATTGTTCGTATCCCAAAGCTGCTGGAGACCCAAAGGAAGACGAACTGTATGAAACAGCCATAATAGAAACAAACTGCACTTACCGTCTGGTGGATGACAAGCTTGTTCCTGATGACGACTTCTGGGGGAAAATCCCAAAGTGCTCCCTTCTGCAATCAAAAGAGGTATAGGGAGTGGGCAGAGCAGTCTGCACAGGGCTGCCTAATAAAATAGATAGCAAGTGCCCCATAAATGCTAGCTATCATCAGTACCATTGTGGATTGGTTACATCTTTTGAAAGGATATTCATTTGTAATTTCCAACCATTACTTCCATCTTGATTACTAATACAGAATTTAGAATATTGTTCAGAGGAGGTTCAATAAATTATTGAAGCTTTTTCTATTTTAAGCTATATATATGTGTGTGTGTGTGTGTATGTGTGTGTGTGTGTATACTAGAAGCCCATTGCAGAAATATTCCTGCAAGAATAGGGCTTCCTCGGGCCAATCTCACCACCAAGCCCTGCCGCCCAGGGCTGCACACGGGGGTCCTGGCTCGGTGGGGGGGGAGCTTAGGCGGCACACGGGGGCCAGGATGGCGGCTCACGCTGGCTCGCGCTGGCTCACCCTGCCTGCAGTATGCAAATTAGCTGCCATCTTGGTTGGTGGTTAATTTGCATATCACACTGATTAGTCAATGGGAGGTGTAGTGAAGGTACGGTCAATTACCTTGTTTGCCTATTATTAGATAGGATACACACACACACACACACACACATGCCCTATCTCTTGATTTTTGTATAAAAATTAAATAAAATATTTTTCAGTCCTTTAGTTTCAGGAATTATATATATATATAAAAGGCTAAGTTGACTCGTGCATGTGCGTGATATATAAAGCTCGCACTGGCGCCATTGCACACATGTGTTTCCATCTGTCATTGTCAATCGTGAATTTGGTTGACACTTCTATTATAGAGAAAGGGTGAATAGCAATAGTAAAATATTTCTTCTAATTAATTTCCTTTCAATGTGCATAAATACATGCACTGGGACACACTAGTGTGTGTGTGTGTGTGTGTGTGTGTATTCTTTCTATATGTCCTTTTTTTCTCTCACCCCCTAAATATTAAATACATACATTACCAAGTCCATTAAGTAAGTAATCTAAGTGTTGAGAGAAAAAGTGCTACTCAAAATTTTATTGAATAGAAGAGTATTATAAAGACTGTAATCTGAAGCTAGATTGATTGTATGGGCATTTAAATGGGGGGAAAAACACCCACAGAAATAATCAGGAATAACTTTAAAGAGAAAGTGAAATTGAGCCTTGTTTGAAATTAAGTAGAATTTGGATTATTGGAAATGAAGGGAGAAGTTATTCTAGGAAGAAAGACTAGAACAAGCCATAGGCTTGAAAATAAGAGATAGTACCTCATTCATGTATTCATTCAGCAAAGAGTAAACCCTGCTGTAAATATAAATATGGTATGGTCTCTGCCCTTGGGGGTCTTGGAGCTATATAGAGGAGAGATGACACCTGTCATCTCTGTGCGTGGAATGTATGAAGTAACCTGTATATAGATGAATGAATAGAAGAAGAAAGGGAGGGAGGGAGGGAGGAAAGGGAGAAAAGGGAAGGATGATAGGAAGATGGTCTTAACTCTGATAAATCAGAAGTTTTAGGTGGTTTGAGAGTTCAGAGGAGGGAACATTAACTTGGACATTTAGGACAATGAAACAGAATCCTATCCATCAGGTAGAGGCTGGCTGGAAATGCCAGCTGGTAGATCTTGTTATCTTTTTGTGTTTGTATTGATTGCTCCACCTGGGTTTGTATCACCACCCATTTGATTCACTGTCAGTAGAGAGCCTGATTCAACTGGAGCTTATCCTTGAAGCTAATAAATTATTCTGTGCCATTCTCCTAGGTACTGGTGTTTGATTTTGGTAGTGAAGTTTACGTGTGGCATGGAAAAGAAGTTACATTGGCACAACGGAAAATAGCATTTCAGCTCGCAAAGCACTTATGGAATGGAACCTTTGACTATGAGAATTGTGACATTAACCCACTGGATCCAGGAGAATGCAATACGCTTATTCCCAGGTACTCTTGTGATCTCTCACGTAGAGCGAGCAGATTCCCTCAGGGGCCTCAGTTCTCACCCCAGTTGGCTACTGTTGCTCTTCATAGGTTTTTGTTTTCATAAATTACTGCCGTGCAGTACCATGAATATTTACAAAGGAACATTTCTTTAGCTTTTGCCTAACTAATACAGAAATACAGATGTCTTCTAGAAGATGTTTGTTATATTTCATGTCTTGAAGTGAACAAATTATTTTCACCTGCAGCATTCCAGGTACTATTGACAGATGAATAGCAATTGTTTAAACAAATTACATGTTGATCTGAAAACTTCCCAGGGTCTGGAATTCAGCCATTGATCTGAAGGTGCAAAAGCAATACATTTCCTTCTAACTTCACACTGTCCCAGCATGGCTCTTGAATTCCAGGGTTTATCATTTATTTGGCAGTAAGTGACATTTATGCGTTCTCTCAGAAGGAGGGGGATGATATGGAATTAAAATAATGATTGTAATATTATTTTCTACAGCATACTGGACTTTTTAAAGTAATTTGGCAAATCCTAAGAATATGCACAAACTCAAAAAAAATGTGATCATAAGAAAAATAATTCTTTATGGAAAGGGCTTGTTTTTTTCTTAACAACTACAAAAAAAAGAAGTGTGTGTCATAGAAATAGGTGTGCATAGGTATCACACAACTGCATTTTAATAGTTTCCATTGAACTAGTAAACAAATTTCAACTTTCCTACCTAGTTTTCTGTTTTAAAATCAAGTTATTGATTTTATTATTATCAAATAGAAACTATTAAAAATTCTGTTCATATAAGGTGAAAAGTTTTCAAATCCTTTTAAATCACATTTAACCTAAAATTAGTACTGTAATAACTAGCATTTTACAGACAGAAGCAAATGCTAAAGAGAATCTTTTACTTAGTATAAAAAATGAAAAATACAATGTGGGGGCATAAAATCCATATGATGGACAATTCCTATTCAGCAGTGACATGCCTACAGATCTGGAAGCAGCTGAGGGAGCACTCAGCCCCCTGGTTTTCAACATCTGCCAGATCAGAATCAGCTGAGGAGTTTTTCTAAAAAATGCATATGCCAGTCCCAGCCCAGAGATGTGTTTTCAATTTATGTGCGGTACCAGTATGTCTTAAAAGCTTTCTAGACATTTTAAGGTGCAACCAAGATTAAGCATCTAGCCCTTCTTAAGAAACAAGGAGGCTGAAACCACTGAGGTATCATGACTTAGCACAATTGGATAGTGTGTTTTGTAGAGATGGGGACAAGCACACCTGCTCCCACTCCTGTTCCCACTGTCACACTGAGGCCTGTTCCCTCTCGTATGTGTGCAACCTCACAACTTAAAAGATAGGTTTCTAAAGCTGACATCGAGTGCATTTTCTATAGGCATCTTAGCAAGTCTGCAGAGTCAAATTTATATAAAAGACAGTCGTTCAGACATTTCTGGTGAAGACCACAGCCTTTCCAAAGAGTCCTGCATTTTCCATCATTACTGATATTTGGTTTCTTAAGTCCCCTGGGAGAATGAAGCAGCAGTATCTGCACCCTGCTTTGGTCTCCTTTGAGATAGACAGCCTCTGTGATGTGCCTTTGGGCCAGAAGCTATAGTCTGGTCCAAAACAGGAGCCACAGCAGGGCTCATTGAGCACTGCCTGAGGCATCATATGCATCCTGGTCATAATTCGCAACCAATGGTTGACTTGGAAGGATGAGAAATGCCTGCACCTTCTTCTCAGGGCTGGACCCTCCATAGCATGTATTTTCTCAGATGTACAGGCATACCTCATTTCATTGCGCTTCACAGATGTTGAGTGTTACAGATTGAAGGCAAGACCCTCCACCAGCAAAAAGATTATGACTTGCTTTATTCAATCCACAGTATCTCTGAGGTATGCCAATACCTTTCTCTCGGTCACCGTTTGTTTCAAGCACAGGTTCACATTCTGAGATACTGAGATAGAACCAGACCTCCAGGTTGGGCTGCGTCACTTCCTTCCCTGTGTCCTTGTGCTCTCCCTGCCTACTGTCACGTCCAGGGGCCTAGGAATATATATGCAAACCTTAACTTCATGGCATATGAAATTATGTTCAGTTTAGTAACAGAGGAGAGTTAGACTGGAGAGTTTGTTGTAACATGACTTAAAATAATAGCGTTCAGGTGAACTCCCATCTGTTCCACTTTACAGAAACTTGGTGAGCAGCTGAGGTGCCTGTGGGCGGCATGAAGCAGGCCAGGAAGATATGCATGTAATTCCTGCCTCACCTGCTCCCAGCCTAGTGCACACCCCCCAGCCTATCCCAAACACGATAACTTGCTAGGATGCAAGAAAAGGCCAGCCCTGACATGGTCCTTATTGCATTTCCGCTCCTATTTCTGTGGAAGGTCCGCAAGGCTTCGGGCTAAAATAATAAAATGTCACTTCTTTGGTAAAATAAGAAAGAACAAACCATTCTATATACTACTTATATATTTTGGGTATTTTTGTTTTGTTTTGTTTTGTTTTGTTTTTTTCCAATAACCACATGTGTTTGTTTTAGATTCCTGTCCTTTGTTTTATCATGGCTTAACCATGGCTCTTTTCCTATCTGCACCCCCACCTACCTCCCTGCAGAAAAGGACAGGGACGGCCTGATTGGGCAATATTTGGGAGACTTACAGAACACAATGAGACTATTTTGTTCAAAGAAAAGTTTCTCGATTGGACTGAACTGAAGAGACCTAATGAGAAGAACGCCAGTGAACTTGCCCAGCAGAAGGTATTCCGAGTGGCCAGGTCTCAAACCTCAGGGCTTGGGTTAGGCCCCAACAAAAGAGGCCTGAAAGCTAAAAGACTTCCCAGGATTTACTAGTAGAACAGCAAACCAGTTTCCTACTGTATTCCAAGTCAAAGAGTGAAAATAGCCTTGTTTGCACCTTTGGGTTTATGGATGTCCTGCTCACTATGGTGGGGTAGATATTCAGGCCTCCCCAAGTCTTTCCCATAAATTCAGCCTTTCCCTATTGCAGTACAATGCCCTGGGACACAGTGTGAAAGCTGTGCTCATACACTATCTGGTTGACAGTGAAGCAGCATGGAGTGTGAGACAAAATGGCTGGAAAAATATGCAACTGATCGAACATTTTATGTTCCCTGTAGGAAGATCCTAGGGCTGATGTCAAGCCATACGATGTGACCCGGATGGTGCCAGTGCCCCAGACGACAGCTGGCACTGTGCTGGACGGGGTGAATGTGGGCCGTGGCTATGGCCTAGTGGAAGGGGATGACCGCAGGCACTTTGAGATTGCCAGTGTCTCCGTGGATGTCTGGCATATCCTCGAATTCGACTATAGCAGGCTCCCCAAACAGAGCATTGGGCAGTTCCATGAAGGGGACGCCTATGTGGTCAAGTGGAAGTACATGGTGAGCACTGCAGGTTAGTGACTTACGTTTTCTTCAAGCTGAGATGGGCCCAGCCCCCACACCGAGGCTGGGAGCCGCAGGGCTGCTGGAGCCCGACTCCTGTGCGCCATGTCTCATGCTGGCTGCGTGGGTGCGGCGCGCCAGCATAGTCATTCGCTTTGAGAACCACTTAGTAAACCTGTAGATGAATTCCTAACAGCCCAGTACTGCTAACATCTGGGACTTTTCCTTACAGAGAAGAAACTTGCATGTTGGGATTTTTCCAGGAACTTCATTCCCTCCACTGCCCTGTCCCCAGAGGTTTTCTAGCCAAGTGATCACTTGCCTCCAGATGACATTTGACATGTGGATTGGATGCTGCTTAAAGTATTTAAGTAAAGCATATGTAGATGATTTAGAACTGAAACCAAATGGTGTAACATTCTAGTAAATACATGCACAAAAATAATGTATTAAAAATGAAAGAAGGTATTTCTGAGGAAGGACAGTGAGTGGACTCTGGAGAAAGAATCCCTTTTCTTTGCCAAAAAGTATCCTTATCCATGTTATGCTCAGTGTCTGTCCTCCCTACCCATTCAACAGGGAGTTTATGTCACAGCTCTGATTTCGAGATTCAACTACAGAAGAATTGATTCACCTCCTTACAGAGGTCCCCTTTGTCTCCACATGGTTTGCTGATTAAACACATGTAGACTTAGAACCATTTGATTTCTTAATTTATCAAAAATAAAGCTTTAGCCGAAACCGGTTTGGCTCAGTGGATAGAGCATTGGCCTGCGGACTGAAAAGTCCCAGGTTCGATTCCGGTCAAGGGCATGTACCTGGGTTGCGGGCACATCCCCAGTGGGGGATGTGCAGGA